TCTCAAGCTTGGGAGAAACCTCCCCCAAGCTGAACAAATCCTCTGGAATCCATGGAAAATGGGAGCACATTTAACACAAGGCCGGCCCTGGGTTGGAAGGAGGCGGCCGAGGCCGAACAAGCCCCGGCACGAAACCATCCTTCCCAAACCTTTTCTCATCCAGCAGGAAAGGTGGCTTGGATGCATTTTTCCTGGGGTGGTGCAAGAGGGATCAAAGAGGCTTTCCCAGAGCCAGCCCTGCCTCCAGGACTTTCCGCTCCCGGCTCCTTCCCAAGGGAACGCGCGGCCCCCGCTACTCGTCCCCAGTGGGGAGCAACGACTCTGACTGACCCTAAATCCAGCTTTTTTTCCTGGAATTATAGGATGGTTTGGGTTGAAATGGGCCTGGAAGATCCCTCTGGCTGGCAGAGGTTATTATGGGATGCTCCAAGGAGTGAGGTTGCCGCTGGGAGGAGCTTCTCTCAATCCAGGGCCACCAAAGCTCAGCCCAAGCGGAGATGATTTCCAGTGGGCCAGGAGAGGTTTGGAGGGATGGAATGAACCTCTGGATAAAAAATCCAACCCTGTTTGGGAAGGCACAAGGCTGGGAAGTTGAAGAGGAAGGAGATTCCGAGCCTGCTTTTCACACCCCAGCGCAAAGCACGGGCAGATCCCTCCAGGAATCATGGAATGGTTTGGGTTGGAAGGGACCTGAAAGATCCTCTCATTCCAACCCCCTGACATGAGAAGGGACATCTCCCACTGTCCCAGGTTGCTCCAGCCTGGCCCTGGATACTTCCAGAGATGTGGCAGCCACAGCTTCTCTGGGAATTCCATTCCACCACCTCCCCACTCTCCCAGCCAGGAATTCCTTCCCAACATCCCATCTAACCCTGGGAAGCCATTCCCTGTGTCCTCTCCCCCCATCCCTTGTCCCCCAGTCCCTCTCCAGCTCTCCTGGAGCCCCTTTAGACCCTGCAAGGGGCTCTCAGGTCTCCCTGGAGCCTTCCCTTCTCCAGGTGAACGTTCCCAATTTGGGAATAGCTTTGCTGTGCCAACCCCTGTCGTTGTCCCTCTGCTCCTTCCCCTTCCCAGGTGTTCTCCATCGACCCGGCAGAGGATGGATGAGACCCTTCCATGCTCAGCTGCAATGAGGTTCCTGCTGAGCAGCCTGAGCAGGTGGAAGCAATGGACTCATCCCATGAATAGGGCTGGAGAGGAGCCCTCGGGAAGGGCTCCAGGATGAGGGTTGGAGGCACCGGGAATCACCGTCCATGTGGGATCTGGGCTCTGCACCCTCTGTTTGGGCACCAGGACCCCTCCAAATCCGACCTGAGAGATGCAAACCAGCTGGATTTGGGATTAATTTAATTTCTGTGATTGAAGAGAGAGGGGAAGGAGGATGTCCTGCAAGGTGGGTTTTCCCCAAATTGGTTTTTAAAGACCTTGTATTTGGCCCCATCCTCCACGTGAGGGGTGCAAAACATCCTCCCCTGGGGGGGTCTCCTGAAATTTGGAGCTGAAAACTTCCTTTCCCAGGGTGCTTTTTGGGCTGGGAACCTCCCATCGGGCTGGGGAGGGGAGGGGAAGAGGGGAGGGGGCTTTTAAGTAAACTTCCTGCGGGAGGGAATTTCCCTCGGGTAGGCAGCTGGCTGAGGTCCTCTCTACTCGTGGGTGGGTTTAGGGGGAGGAGGTTGGTCCCACCAGCAGCTCTGGGTGCTCCTGGGGCAACAAAGTTTGGGAAAACGTGGAAGTTTTCCAAGTGTTTTCTGCTCCTCAGAAAGTTCAGATGGTGTTTCACGGGGCTTTAGCACTTTTTGCTTTGAGAAATCCCTTTTTTTTTTTTTTTTTTCCTCACTGGGGGAGGTTTCTCGTGGATTGGGACCACTTGGGTGTTTAATGTGATCCTTGTTTCCTCCATCCTCTGGGTTTCCATGGGGAGCAGAGATTTGGGAGGGTCTGGATGTTGCAGCCACAAGGGAAGGGAGGGGGTGGTGGCCCAGCTCAGGTTTGGGAAGAGGAGCCAAGACCTCGATTCACCTCCTGTGTCTCTGCTCTGCTGAATTATTTTCTCCCGTGGTGGGAGCTGGGAATTCCTCCTGAAATTCACGATTTGGGGGGGGGAATCTCCTTGGATTTTTTTAGTAGGAGTTTTATTTTTATCATTTCCAAGGGTGACTGAACTCAAGGATTTGCCATTTCTTGGTCTCTTTGGGTCCTCCTTAAAGCTGAGCTTGACCTTTTGGGGTTGAGCTCTTGGGGTTTTCTCTGGGAGGAAATTTGGGATTCTGCCAGCCCTGGGGTGTCTCCCTGTTGTTGCAGGGACATCCTTGAGGATTCTGCCTTAACATTCCCAAGAACTGCTGGATGAGGGAGCCATGGGGGTCTCAAGGGACAGTGAGATGAAGAAGAGCAGCAGGTGGGACGTGGCAGGGGATTTTGGAGTGGGGGGGGAGCTCCAGCATTCCATGATCACTCTGGATTTCCTGGGAATTTCAGCCCTGAAGGGATCAAGCTGGAAAAATCCCTCTAAATTTCCTTTTGGGAGCCCTTTGATTGGTGCTGAGGAAATAAGGGTTGGGCACTGTGGGATCCCACCGTGGATTATTTTCCCCACTAAGGGGTTTGCTCTGGGGATTTCCCACTTGGCTTCAGTAGGATCCACTTTTCCTTGTCCCCAGGAAGCGAAAGAAGGAGTTGGAGAACGGGCAGGAGGTTCCCAAGGAGCTCAGGACAAAGATTGGGAAGAAGGAGCCGGAATATTCAGTGCAGGTACCTCTTTATCCCCCCCACTGGGGTGGCCCTTGGGACTGTCCCAAAAAGTTTTATGGCCAAAAGAAAACCCCCCAAATCCCCATGGCATGAACTTCCTTCTCCCTCACCCTGCTCCATCCTGGTGAAAAAGTTCCCTGCAGGAAAAGAGGGAAAAGGGAAGAAGAAACCACCCAAGGTCAAGGAGAAGCCGCTGCAGGAGAACATCATCAGCAGGTGGGTCCTTGGGACCCCACCCAGGGAGGAGATGGGAGCTCCAGGGATCTGCTCCCCCCATCTGGGATCATCCCATGGGAATGCCACATCCGGCTTTGCTTCCCTTGGGCTGTTTGGATCATCCAAGTGGGTTTTAATTGGGAAAAAAATAAAGGCTTGGAGTGACAGGACAAGGAAGGGGGGATTAAGTTGGATGTTGGGAAGGAATTCTTCCCTGGGAGGGTGTGTGGTGGGGAGGTGGGATGGAATTCCCAGAGCTGCAGTGGTTGCCCCATCCCTGGAAGTGTTCCAGGCCAGCTTGGAGCAACCTGGGAGAGCGGGAAGTGTCGCTGCTCCATGGAATGGGATGATCTTAAGGTTCCTTCCAACCCAAACCATTCCATGATCCTTAAAAAAAAAAAGCAACCCACGTGTTCCTTCTGTCTCTTCCTTTTCCATGAAGCTCCCTAAAGCAGGAGGCTGCAGGAGGAAAAGGCCTTGGCTCGAGCCTTGGGAATGGGATCCAAGCTGAGGAAGGAGCCGCCCTGGGCTCGGTACGTGGCGGTCTCGGAGCTGAAGGATTTGGGAGGACTCACCTGGGATTTACTCCCCAGGGATCTGTGGTTGGGGGTGTCCCCCAGCCTGAAAATGTGTGAAAGCCCCTGGAAGGGATATTTGGAATGAAATGAAGGAGGGAATTCCCTGCGTGGCCTTGGGGTTGGATGGATCCCGTTGTGGTGTTTCCTGGGGGCGGGGGCTCTGCCACTTCCCAACAGGAATGTTGGGATTGGTCTCATCCTGCAGCATCTTTCCTGAGGAATTGAACCTTCCTGCCCCACCCCTGGAAGTGGCCAAGGTCAGGTTGGATGAAGCTTGGAGCAACCTTGGGATAGTGGAAGGTGTCCCTGCCCTTGGCTGGGGTTTGGAACTGGATGAGCTTTAAAATTCCTTCCAGCCCAAACCATTCCATGATTTTTGGCTGATCCCCAGACTGATTCCCACTACGTTTTGGCCCCATTAACATTTCCCACTTGTCCTCTGGTGTAAAACCAGCAGAGAGAGGCTTTTTCCCCTTCTCTCTGGGAAGTCTCCATCCCTTTTCCAAACGGGATCTAAAATATCAGCAAACTCTTTCCCAGCTGGATAAAACTGAGACCACAACCTTGGAAAAAAAAAAACAAGCAAGGAGAGGGAGGATCCATGTCTTGCTGTTCCTGACAGTGCAAACATCAACAATTGACAGGCAGGACTGACTTTGGGAAAGGTCCTGCTTGTGCATTCCTGAATTTCCCCACCTCATTCCTGATTCCAGCAGATTGTGAATCCCACAGCAGGAACATTCCCAGGGAACGAAAGTTGATGTTGTCCCAACCCAACTTATAATTAACTGAGGGTTTTTATTTCCCCTTTAATGAGTTCACCCAGCAGCTTTCAAGAAAAAAAACAAAAACAACAACAAAAAAAATCCCCTCTGTGGTTTTTGGGCTCCTTTGAAAGGGAAACTTGGGATGGCTGAATTTCTAAGGAGAGCCTGGCTGCTTGGAGAGGGTTTGGAGGAGCCTGGGATGGGTTTCAGGGTGTCTGCTGTGGTCAGGAGCAGAAAAAAAAAAAAAACAGGCTTCAGCTTGGAAAAGGAGGATGCAAACCTTAGAAGGAGATTCCTGGGAGATTCCAAGGGGCAGGTTTTAGGGTTTGGGTCCTCTCTGGACTTGTTTGCTTCCAGGTTTTATCCCAATTTTCCTAACCCCATAAAACCTCCAAGTCTGGAAAACCTTGGGTGTTTTGGGCTCCTGGTTTCCAACCAAGGAAAGGGAAAAGGGTGAAGGAGGGGGGTGGCTGATTTTTGGGGATGATGCTGCTCTTGGGATTCCTGTGCCAGGTCACCTTTCCCAATATATTCCAGGAGGAGACCAAAGCATCCCTGCCCCAAGGGCCACCCGTGGAGCTCCAAGACTCTTCAGGGTGAGTTGGGGCCCTTTTGGGATGATTTTTTGCCTGGAGAATTGGGAATTTTGTCCTTTTTTTTTTTTTTTCCTTCTTTTTCTTTGTTTGGGGGGGAGTTTCCCAGCCCTGGTTTTCCCTCCTGTGCTTCCCTACGTCCCAAATGACCTTCCCAAAAACATCCCAAGTGGGATTTGAGGCCCAAATCCTGGGATTTGAGGCGATGGAGAGGGGAAAAATCCTGCCCCTCATCCAGCATCCCTGAGTCAGCAGGGTGGGATTGCTCATCTGCAAACAGAGAGGTGGGAACAACCAACCTCCCAAATCCTGGGAAAAGGCTGTTCTTTCCCTCTCCCTGGGCTAGATCCAGGTGGAGATAAGCAGGTTAATCCTCTCTGCCTCTTCAAAATGCCCTCTAATCAGCCCTTTGGAAGAAGGAGCCGATCCCAAAAGGTGGCAGGAAAGACTTTGCCTCCTGAGTCACGGCTGGGTTAATGAGATTGGAAGGGCTGAGCTTGTTTTCCTGGGATATTTTTTTCCCTAATGAGTTTAGTGGAGATTGTGTAATTTGTGCTGTGTGTATGTGCCAGCTGGAAAAAGCATCTGCCTCCTTTTTTTGGTTTATTTTGTGTTTTTTTTTTTTTTTTTTTAATGGGGGGAATTTTTGTTTCCATCCCAAGCAGGCTCAGAGAATTCCTGTGCCCCAGGAATGTTGTCCCACCTTAAGGGAATTAAGGATCAGCCTGAATTAACTTGGGAGAAAAAGGCCACAAATCTCACTTGCTGGTGGAGGAAATGTGTGGGATAAAAGTTGGATAAAAGCAGGAATTCGTGGGTTTTCTGTGGGAATTCCAGGAGAACCATCCCATCCTTTCTGCTGAGCCATCACCACCTTCCTTGGGAGCAGGAATTTGGCTTCCCAGCTCCTTCCTGGGTAGGATCAGGGCTGTGCTTCCAAAGTGTTCCTGGCTGAGGGGTGCCAGGAGCTGGGAAAGGCCGGGAATGGGGCTGATCCTTGGGCTGAGCTCAGCTCCAGGTGTGTCCAGCAGGGAGGTGACAATGACTCAGAAGGGACAGGAACAGCTTTCCATGTGGATGGGGAGGCACAACCACCTCAATCCTGGCAATCCCAGAGGTTGGAAAAGCCTCCAAATTTCCACGTGGGCCAGGGGACGCCATCCCCTCAACCCTCATGGAATCATTCCAGTTGGAAAAGACGATCCAAGGTCATCAAGTCCAAGGCAGCACTGCCAAAGCCACCCCTGAACAATGTCCCCAAGTGCCACATTCCTGTTTTCTGAACACTTCCAGGAGGGATGGGAATTCCACCGCCTCCCTGGGCAGACCATTCCAATGCTAGACCACCTTTCCAGTGAAGAATTTTCCCAATATCCATCTGAAAATCCACCCTGGGGAGATGCAGGCTTGGTTTAGGCTGTGCTTGCTGCTCCTTCCTTCATATTTTGCTTGGATTTGGTTTTTTTTGGGAATGAACTCCACTGTGTCCATGATATCCAACCTGATCCCGCCTGTCCCACGTGCTGTTGGTGCTCCCAAACTTTGCCAGCCTTTCCCCCCGAGGTTTCTCTGGGAATGTTCCCTTGAAATATCCCCCCTTTTGGTCTGGAGATTTTGGGGTCCTGCTTTTTTGTGCTTCCTCATCCCCTCAAATCCAGGTGGGATGAAATATGTGGATAAAACCCACTGGTGCTCTGGGAGATCTCCACGGGCCACAACACCTGGGGAGCTTCCCTGGAGGAGAAACAAGGGCTGGTTTGGGAACAATTCCCTAATTTTTGGATTGGAAGAGGTGGAGCTGCTGCTCAGCAAGGTGGTGAGAAGTGGCTGGAATTTTGTTGTAGGTGCCAGGACAAATCCCAGGAAGCGGGACCTGCGGTGGGACAGCAGCTCTTGAAGATCCAGAATGGAATTGGGGTAGGAAATCCGGGAGGAATGACACTCCCTGGACCTGATCCTGCATGGAATAAATCCCTCAGCAACTCCTGGCCTTTTGGGATAACCCCTCTCCTTTCCCAGCCTCAACATTCCTTCCCTTCTGGCTGCTTCCCACAGATCCCAAAGCCCAGTGATGGCGTTGCTGGTGGGATTTCCTCCCCCTCTGGAGATGCTGGGAATGTGGAGATGGATGTGGAGCTCGCAGATGTGAGGGAGGGTGAGGAGAAGGAGCTGGATCCTCCTGTCCCACGAAAAGAACGGGATTCCCGAGTCCTGAAGAGCAAAAAAGGAGGAAAGAAGAAACAGGAGGAAAAGAAGGAGCAGGAAAAAGGATTGAAGAGGAAAAGAGAGAGGAAAAAGGATAAATTTGGGGATGGGATGGAAGGAATTGAGGAGGAGGAGGATGAGGGAGGCAGGAATTGGGAAGAGGAACAGGGAAGAGCCAAAAGAGGGAAAAGCAGCAGATTTCAGGGACAGGGGGATGGGAGAGAAAAGCAGGAGAAGGGAAAGGCCAAGAAGCACAAGAAGGTGAAAGTGGAAGGGGTGGAAAAGGTGGGAAAAAAGAGAATAAAGAAGGAAAA